GAAGCTTTGCTTCCTCTGTCATTTTCTTAGCAGCTGCATACAGTCTCTTTCGGTCGATTAAAGAAAAGCCAGTTCTGCTATGCTTTCCTACTTTAATATTCAATCCTCTTTGAATTGTTTCAAGTGTCTTAGCACCACCATTGAACAAGCAAACTGCTAACGAGCATGCTGTCAGCACTGTTTCTGGACCACTAAAAACTTCCTTCGGACAGAATTCCTAAACAAGTTGATTTAGAGCCTCATTGTTATTTTGAGACAATCCAGCCAGCACACTATCCAACAGACTTTTATCCCACAAGCCTTGAAAGACAGGCAAAATTTCTTTCATTACTGCTTGAGCAATGTTTTTTGGTTGGAATATTTTTGTTCCAAGAACTTTATCTTTCTGCCAACCACACCATGAATTTTCTCCCTCAGGGCAATACTGGTGCATTTGCTTGTCTTTTGTTGAAGCATAATGGTGCCAAATAGCTTTTACTGCTCTCTCCATGCCATCAATATTCCCCTTATTTTCCCTTAGAGCTTTCCCATAATACCTTTGGAACATATCAATTAGGTTGTCGGTGAGACGATTGCGACCTCCATTTGTTTTGCCATCAGACAATTTAGTGTTCCTCAAATCTCTTTTCTTTTTTCTAAGCCTTCCTCCCATCCTCTTTTGAATATGTCCAACACATTCAATTTTTTGAACCTCCACATCTCCATATGGGTTCGAGCGTACAACATCACGATGTGAGGAAGAATCGCAATCACCTACAAAATCAACATAACGCAAGTTATGCTTCTCCAATGACCGTTGCCAGATTCCCACTGCATCAGCAGCTTCCATTGCTTTAGCAGATCTGTCAAAGTTGGCATTACATTTAGGACCATGGGCAGGGGCGGATCTAGAGTATGTCAAATCCGTCGCGCGACTGATGTTTGAAATTCAAAAATTACCTATTCATATTAATTAAAAATCATTAATTATTCTTACTTTATTATCGCATTTACTTCGTGATAAAAATCCAGCTTTATTTATTATTGAAAACTAATGACTTATCCAATGAATATCTCCTCCAATGTATCTACATTTATGTTTATTTTATTGTTCTTCCTTTGTGTCTTAATCATTTTCTCTTTGATCGAGGTGGTTTGTGAATTGCGATCTCATTAATTAATCATCTAGATGAGCAGGGGCGGATCCAGTGAACTCCATATATATATATATGGAATGATAACGACAATACATTTTATAGATATAAAATTGAAGCCAAAGTCCTAGTCTTCTGCGCGGTTTGTACGTCAGTTCCAGTCCTTCAAAGTCGAATATTCACGCGGTTTGTACGTCAGTTTCATTCCCCTGAGTGCCAAACATACACGGCCAATATAAATTTGAATACAAATTGCAAAAGCATAAACATATAAACAACATCACGGCAAACAACACACTAGGCCAACTCCTCGCAAAAGGTTATTTTTTACAGCTGAAACTTTACTACAGTGAGTTCGTTGTAACTTACAACTTGTAACGAGGAAAAGACAACTGAAAATTACACTGTTTGCTAAAAAGACAATATAATAGAAAATATGACGAGAAAATATTCAAGCATAAATTTTTCTTACATCGGAAGGTAAATTTTCAAACGGTGTCAAACAGTGTTTATCTTTTTTTGTCATTTCAGTGGATTTAAAGATCTGTTTTTCCGAAGAAAAAAGAAACTTGAATGTCCAGTTTCATAAAAAATATCGAGTCTATAACTTGCATTTTTACTTTTACAGAGCGATTGTATTTTTAATCGATTTTGATAGTGCTTGAAATACTAAATGGTTCACATCTCGATATCTATAATTGAATATCCTTAAAGACTTTGATATGTTTTAAAGGAAAATCTCCTAAAGTCGATCTGCAGCGTAAGAGCAGATCGACTAAACTCGCCTCGCCTTGCTTCTCGATTTATCACTTTGATTCACTTTCCGTGAACCTTTTTATTCCAAAAATGTCGTTATTTTTACGCTCTGATCAAGATCCGAACTCTACCATTACCAAGGGACAAATAATTGAAAAAAATTAAAATGAACATGCGAGAGACTAGAGCCTGACGTGTGATGACAAATGATGACGACAAATATTTTTTTGGCTTCAATTTTTGGCTTCGGTTATCATTCCAGTTATTCAAATGTCGAGTTCACTGGGCGGATCTAGAGTATGTCAAATCCGTCGCGCGACTGATGTTTGAAATTCAAAAATTACCTATTCATATTAATTAAAAATTCATTAATTATTCTTACTTTATTATCGCATTTACTTCGAGATAAAATCCAGCTTTATTTATTATTGAAAACTAATGACTAATGCAATGAATATCTCCTTGGTAACCAGATCAGTTGAATTTTAATTGACCTGGAATAACCGACTGATAAGCGGGGTGGCTTGACTGGTTCGACTTATAAAGGAGTCTATGAAATGCTATTTTATTGGTCAATGGCCAGATCAGTGGACAGTCTGGAATAATCTCGACCGATAATAGGGGTGGCCGGACCTATAAGGGAGTCCAATTGCTATCTTACAATTGGTTCATTTGAATTTTTGTCTTACTGTGATTGGTTTGACCGATTTCGACTGATAGCCAACTGAACTAACATAGTCAAGCTCACTGTCTGAATTGAATGTTTGATCGTTTCATAATAATTTTCTAAAGCATGATAGAAACTAAACTACAATCAGATGGAATTTATGGAAATCTTTTACAAATTCATATGTTGACATGAATGCTGCTTTCCAAACTGAGAATTTTTTCAAGAGGGTGAAAAATTTATGGATGAATTGTAAATGCTTGGCAAAGACGATCTCGCGAGCGACATTTCAGTCATTGATGTTCAAAAGAACGCCAACATTGTTTTGAGTTTTATCAGCAGAAATTTACATCGAAAATCGTAAGTAAAGGACAAGTGAAGTGTATGCATGAATGCAATATATCAAAGTCAATTTATGCGAGTGTGTGATGCGATTTATGTTAATATGGCGTATGGTAAGCAGATTGATGCTTCTAAAATTGTTGTTGCCGAAGGACTTTTAGCTTTGATTTCTTTAATGCTTGGGGAATCGTGGCCGTTATATGGCATCGAAATCCTACATTTCTGCAAATATATTTCAATGGACAAAAAATCTGTAGCCATAAGGTGCCATACTATTATTTACTTTATCATAAACAAATATTTGGGGCTTTTCAGTTTATGATCATTGATCATTCAATCAGTGGACAGTTATACTACATATTGTTTAAGATTTGAGAAAACTAACATTGATTACATGAGAAGCTGTTTACTATAACCTGTGATTTTGAGTCTTATGATCCATGAAGTTTTTTATTTTGACAATTTGACTGGAATGGTATTAAACCTAAGTATTTCAAATACATGAAATGTTGTCCCATGTCACATATTGTCCCCTTTTCTAACTGAACACCTCATGTAGAGATGTAAAGGTATGTTAATCTACGGCTCATACCAGATTGTTGCCATAAATTCCAAAGGGCTATTGATGTACGAAAAGCATTTTCTATAAAGTAAAAATGTCTTCCTATGTATGCAGATAAACCTTGAAATTTGGCAAAACAGCAAAGTATTTTTCATGATCACTAGGTAATTTTTCTGATGATCATTATAGTTTCTAAACTAAATTATTTCTGATTTACATTTAAACAAGCTTTGATCATATGAAAAGATATTTATCATAACCAGTAAGCATGACACATAAACCATTTTTAACATTCATGTAATTATATAATTAAAGACATGTTGGTTACATTCTGTTTGTATTTGATAATACAATGCTACTAGTGATTGCTATATAGCACAACCTTGCAGAAGATAATAGTCTAGTGAAATGCCAAATAAACATTTATGGCATTAAGCTAACCTTAACTGCAAATTTTCACTCTGATAATTTTTGCTTAATCTTTGGCAGAAAAAAATTTTGAGTTTTTCTCAAAGGGTGAATTTGCTGGCACTGATGTGGAGATGGGTAAAGAGTTACAATAAACTTGCATGGTTTGAAGTCTGAGCTTTTCTATATCTATGAACTGTCACTTATAGTACCAAATTTCTAACTTAACTTATTACATAGAGGTTTGAATGGGGGTCTCTAGGGGGGTCTATGCCTGACAACTTGGTAGAAATTTTAAAGAATATATCTGTTTTTGAATAGCATTATTGTAAAATAAATTTACATTCCTAGACATGCTAATGAGCCATATATTTGGCATGATGATGAGCCTAAATATTTGGCATGATAATGAGCCTAAATATTTGGCAAAACATTCAAGTATTGTTCACTTTATTTTTTTTTTGAAAAAAAAACGTAAGAAAAATGTGTTGTTTTTACGCAAAAACCATTCCCACAAAATACATTTTGTATTGCTCTAAAACGCTGAAAATGGCATTTTCAAGACTCTGAAATTCAAAATTTCTCAGGGGAGAATGCCTCAGACCCCCCCCAGGTGCGGAGCGCCTCCGACGTTTTATGACTGATGTTTGAAAAATCCTAGATCCGCCCCTGACCATGGGTTTCCATCCAATGATTATACTCCTCTGAGTCGAGGTCAAGATGTTTCTTGGAACGGCATTGGTAACACACCTTACATTTCACTTCAAAGTCAAGGACTTTACCACTATCAATTTCAATGGCAGACACCATACCATATAGAGATAGAAAAACCTCTTCTTGCCCATGTACCATCACATGAAACTGCAATATCCAATGATTCATGCTTGCCCACATTGCTTTTGGCTCGCACTTCTTTTGCAGCTTTTTTCATTTCATGCTCAGCGACTTCCTGTGAAACACGGGAAATCGCCTTCACATGGGTGTTATAGGATTTTTTTGCTGCTGGCCCTGGCATGTCCATATCCGAGTAGACTGGGATAATGGGGCCACAAGCGCTGGGCTTAATACTAAGAGATCAAAGGCTCAGAGACGAGTGACCCTTCTGGCTTCCGTTCTGTATATTCATTATTTTGTGTCAAAGTATATTAAAATTGAAACTTCCGTGTTCAGTTGACAAACGTCCTGTTTAGTTATGGCCAGATTACGATCGTCGATAACTCAAATTTGAATTCGAATCCTAGGTTTTTTAGCGAGTGGATGATGTCAGATATCAGTCAGTTTTGTTATCTGTTAATGTTCGCAATTATCTTTGTCCTTTCTATAAAAGGTATGTCCTTTGAACGTTGGATGTTTTATGTTTACCCGGTCGACACACAATTTGCAATGTTAAAGTATCAGTTATAAGAGCATGTGTCAGTCGTATAATTATAATTGATTATTGAAATTTACAAACAGCCTTATCCCAGTTAATCTATTTGTAATATGATCTCGACTACACAAGATCGAAGTATTTGAGGTTAGACGGCGTGATATTTAGTTGTGAGGAAGTGCTTCGACATAATTTAAGTCATCGAAATCTTTTTTTTGTCTTTTTCATCTTCGAATTATTCATTTGCACTGAAGATGACTGAAGATGACTGTTAAGTCGACCATAAAAAATCTCTATGCGTTTTTCTTTGAATGCCAAATTAGTATAATTTGCTTTGGTAAAATTATCAATCCATTTAATTGTGACGTATGCGGAAGAAAAGAGCTCTCAGACTTTTGCCAATATTGAAATCTTCATTCCTCCCAGCAACATGTTTGTGATTACGACCAATATATATTTGGGACTTAAGTGGGCATGGTAAAATTTATATTTGATTATAAGTCTCCAACCATCACTTTAGTTTTTGACTTTTAGAATAATGTTTCGTTTAAAGTGTGTGCGTATATAGCGTTCAATTTCCCGCCAAATTTCATGCCTCGATTTTTAGCAATATAGTTCGAATTTGCGACATTGAAGTTTGCATTCGCGACAATATAGTTTGCTTTCGCGACATTATAGGTTCAATTTGCGACATTATAGTTCGCATTCGCGACATTATAGTTTCCTTTCGCGACATTGTAGTTTGCTTTTGCGACATTATAGTTTGCATTCGTAACATTATTGTTAGCATTCGCAACATTAAAGTTTGCCTTTGCAACATTAAAGTTTGCATTTGCAACATCAAAGTTTGCATTCGCATCATTAAAGTTTGCATTTGCAACATTAAAGTTTGCATTTGCAACATTAAAGTTTGCATTCGCGACATTAAAGTTTTCATTTGCAACATTAAAGTTTGCATTCGCAACATTAAAGTTTGCATTCGCGACATTAAATTTTGCATTCGCAACATTAAAGTTTACATTTGCGATAATAGTTTACATCAATGTTCAAAATTCATTAAAGTTGAATATTGGCGGTTTGTGCAAGGGTACAATTTCCAACAAAATTATTTTCAAGGAGATACGTGGAAACACGGATACGGATGAACGGTGGTCAGATAAAGCACGTGCGGATAACAGTGAATGTCAAAGGACCAAATATTTATTTGCACCAACCAGAGGCGTAAATAGAACGTTAATTGGGGGGGGTGCATATTCATATATTCAGTTGTGCCCTAATGATTTCTTTTGAAATTTAACTTACTTTTAAAAGAAATCAGTAGGGTACAACGGAATATATGAATATGCACCCCCCTCTCCCCTCTCAATTAACGTTCTAGTTATGCCTCTGCCACCAACTAACAAACTGCTTCAAAAAATCGAATGAAAGTGTTTATAATTTGGCGTAAAACATTTAAATAATGTATGCCAATACAAAATCAAGCGTATCAATCAAACCATTAACTTCTAATAGAAAGATAAAGGCTAGCGAAAGGTCAGTTTTGTCCTCCTTAATGAATGCAAAGGTACAAACACTGTTGTCCGGAAAATTTTGACTGCGGAAGTTAAGGTATCAATTATGTTTATTTGAATGGTATTGAGCATATATACTCGAGTCTTGAAGTCTCAAAATGAAATAAAATCACTGCCCAGATCATAATTCCGCTAATCTACTCTCAATTACGTTGCAGGCTCATTATTACCTCCGTATTATGCTTATCAACTTCATATTAAATAAAAATGAAGGGAGGAAAACCGAGAGTGAATGCATCTACACAGGATTTGGCTGAACTGTTAGAAATAGTCCAGAACAAGCTAACAAGATTGGACACAATATCTAACCCAGATGAAATTTATTGTTTACTTTCAAGAATAGATATGATCAAAACCAGATTTATCAGTCTGTGTCTCGATAGGTTGTTTTTGGAATTGCAAAACACGGCTTATAAATGCCTAAATGAGGTAACTGCGTTTGCATATTCACCATGTGAAACACGAAGTCGTTGCGACCTTCAATCAATGTTAACAAAGAACACGTTAGCTTTCTTCTTGAGCAAAATTTTACAGTGGCCGAAATTTAGCGGAATCACAAGAGTCGGAAAACAGACGCTGGAAAGGTAAATTAAATCACTTTGCTTTACTTGCAGAGATGCTAGTTATTTGAAAATATTGAAAGGCTCGTGGCATCTGCTTCAACTCCTTCCCCATTAGTGACAGAATAGCTTATTCCCAATTTAAATAAAATTGGGAAGAATACTAAATAAATGAAAACGTACAATAAGATCTTCCCCTCACTATCTTGCAGTTATCTTCTTCCCAACAAGTGATTTCATTCTCATTTCCAGCGTCTGTTTTCCGACTCTTGTGATTCCGCTAAATTTCGGCCACTTTAAAATTTTGCTCAAGAAGAAAGCTAACGTGTTCTTTGTTAACATTGATTGAAGGTCGCAACGACTTTGTGTTTCACATGGTGAATATGCAAACGCAGTTACCTCATTTAGGCATTTATAAGCCGTGTTTTACAATCCAAAAACAACCTATCGAGACACAGACTGATAACTCTGGTTTGATCATATCTATTCTTGAAAGTAAACAATAAATTTTATCTGGGTTAGATATTGTGTCCAATCTTGTTAGCTTGTTCTGGACTATTTCTAACATTTTAGCCAAATCTTGTGTAGATACATTTACTCTCTGTTGTCCTCCCTCCATTTTTTATTAATATGAAGTTGATAAGCATAATACGGAGGCAATAATGGGCCTGCAATGTAACTGAGAGAAGATTTGCGGAAGTATGATATGGACAGTGATTTTATTTTAATTTGAGACTTCAAGACTCGAGTATATATGCTCAAAACCATTCAAATAAACATAATTGATACCTTATCTTCCGCAGTCAAAATTTTCCGGCAAACAGTGTTTGTACCTTTGCATTTCTTAAAACAGGATAAAACTATAATGCCGCGAATGCAAACTTTAATGTCGCAAATGCAAACTTTAATGCCACGAATGCAAACTATAATGCTGAAAATTGAGGCATGAATTTCGGCGGAAATGGAACGCCATATGCGTATGCTATAAAAAGTTATGCAAGATGTGCAAGCATTTAGGATCAGTCTTCAAAAGCACACGACTAACGACTGACGTAAAATTGCATAAATACACAGTATGTCAATTGTATATTAATGGATGAGTCAGTTTTTGTGTCATAATTGCGGGGGTCGTAAGATACATAACTTATTCTGCATGGCTGGATTATTTCTTTGTATTGTTTAGTGTATTCAATCCCTTTTTATAGTCATACAAACTCAAAACATGTTTGCCATAAAAACATTTTTTTGTCTTCTTCGAATGTTACCAACAGTATTATACACTATAGAATTTTGGGGGATAAAATTTAGATGGTAGCAGTAATCAAACGTATAACATTATTTTTCTAGTTTTTAATCATGGGCATGGACAGATCGACAATTTGGGGCAAGGGGTCATAATTGTTTTTGCATGATATGCCGTAATTGTTTTATTATCAAACGTTAGGATCAATTTTGGTTATATGTCAAACATTATTGAACTGACCGTATTAAACAAGGAAAACATTTCAGTCGAAGGTTATACGTACTTTCGTTTTCGCTTCTGTGTTCTGAACATGAAATTGAACGTTCCAACCTCAATCTAATCTAAACATATAAGTGTAGTTACATTTTGTGGTAGTTGTTGTGAATTCATCGGTGATACTTGTCTACAGAATTACACACTACTCTTTCAAAACTTGTGGAAACTGCCTAAACATTTTACTGGCAGTCATTGCACTGGCAGTCATTGCATTTATATTTGTCTTATTTGGCTTAAAAACAATTTGGTAATAATTTGAAACTGTTTTTATAACTATAAGCAACTAAATCTCCAACATTCGCGTGAATTTGAACCGTTAAGTTTATGAAATCTCGTCAAGGATGTCGTAATGACTGACGAAGTTGCTTCAGTTTTTTTAATGAGTGGCAAATTTAAAACGGGAAAATGAAGTTGCCGAGAAAATTGCGTAGATATAGAAATATCCATCGATTTGAAATGATGCTAAAAACTAGCATCATTATTTTTGTTATTGAAAACAGCACTTCAGGAAATAAACCAATCATTTGATTATCACTCTTGTGTGACATAGTTAACAATACAATTCCGAGAAACCTAAATTTCTTACAATGATGTGAATTTCATGCCCAATATGCGCAATAATGCACAGTTTTCAAACTGCTCCTTAGAACACATAAAATGGTATGTTATCAAGCTTACCAACTAGCTAGCTGCATCATTCCATGTAAAAAAGAAAAAAACTAAGAGTTACTTCAGCAAATTGCCAAGTAAAGGCGCTTGTACAACTTCTCTCGCAACTTGTTATCTCTGTTTATATATTGCGATACAAATTCGCACGCGAGGTTGCAAAGTGTGGATTCCCTCGTAATAATAAAGTCAGGCAATAATTGTGATGCAAGAAGTGTTGCATGAACTGGAATCTGTTTCTACTTATTGCAACAATTGCCACAGCGCTGCAACGTATTTTTAATGTGTTGTACTGTATAACGTCCTTGCATGATTTTGTGCAATGTTTTCTTCATTGGTCAGTAGGAACTCGCTATCCGGCTAGGATCTAGGAATTTAATTAACTCTACAGCAAAATGTTTACTATTGCAAAATACAAGTAGTATTGCACAGTGTAGCAACACAAGTTGCGAAACATGTTATATGGTGCAAAAACGCTCTAAACTGCTCGTATGCTAGAGAGTGGAAATTTTCTATCTCCAAAAACAGAAATATGTGGAATGCTTGCAACTAAAGAGTTCAAAACACAGTTTCTTTTGAATTTCATACTTTGTTTTTGTTTTTGTATAACATTGGCTCACTTCCTATGACTGACATAAAAATCAGAGAATACTTAATTATTTATACTGCTGCGGATGAACTTCCTGTTAATCAAAAATACACAAAAGAAACGGGACTTTTGGCATTTAGGCTTCCCTGTCGTGTTGATAGTGTTCAGTATCCTAAATTAATTTTGATGAAGTTTTGTTTTTTTTCCAGATTTTGTCAAATATTATTTTGCGAACTATTTTTATTATTTATCAATGTCATTTTTACAGAGACAAATGGATTTTTTATCAAACATGTTCAATCAGTGTACAAATGATACGGGGATGACGCTTTTTAGGAATTTTTATGGTATTGGTTACTATCTGAACCTTACTAAGAACTGTTTTGACTCAACAACTCAGTTTAAATTTCATCAATCTGGCTCCATATTAACACCAAATACAGAAGGTTGCTTTGTAGGAGAAAAAAACAAAAAAGATTTGTTTGTGATATACGAAAACAAAGGTGACATTGCTGCTGCATGCAATGAAGCAAACGCCTTAACCCAAATTTTTCTAGGTGGAATATTTACTTCCGACTTTAATAAATGTGTAGTACCTCCTGGATATATTAAACGTCATGTCTACATGGGAATAGCCAAATGTAATGATGAAGAAGATCAGCGATTTCATTTTGGTAAGAAAATTTTTTTAATCTAATGAATGCATAAAATTAAAATCTTATTAAAATCCACCACAAATCCTTAGTTATATTGTGTTGGCATCTACATGCAAGGTCCCTGTCATCAGAAACTTTATCTTCATCAGATTCAAATTTGCTTTTACAGGATTTTACAGTTAAGCGCCTACCGATTTTATTTTTTTTTGTTGTTTATTATAGGTTCAGTGGTATGTGCGGGACAAAAGATAGCGAACGCTAGTTGTTCTAATAATCAATATATGGTAGTAAAAAAGGCTGAATATCGTGGATTGAGTAAAGGAAGCTCTTGTGGCTCGAGTTATAATTTTAGTTGTAGTGTTGATGTGACATGTGACCTTAAAAATTATTGTGATGGTGAAAGGGAATGTAATATAACTGTTGATGATAATCATTTTCCTTCGAATATTTGTCCTGGTTTGGAGAAATATCTTTACTTTGAATATCAATGTAACGACACAAGTATGCCACACAGAGAGATTTGTAATTGTAAGTATTATATAGGCAGATTATATATTGCTTATTATTAAAGTGCTTCGGGACAAGTTTTGACCTGAATTTTTCGTCGTTTGGTAAACATTCTTACACTGCGTATACCATCAATTTAGAAAATTTTGAAACATTTTTTCATTTTTGTCAGGTTTTTTCGTGAAAAGTAATTTGTTTATTGAATTTTATTATTTGTGTATAATCCAATTTATACTGTCTTCATATGATTTGACATTTAAACTTGAGCTAAGTTTAACTATATCTGGGTATTTTACATTTTTTAATGCAAACATCTTTTCTCACAGTGTCTTTGATTTTTGAAAGTATTTGTACTAATCTGTGTTTGGCAAACAAAGACATTTACTTTTTCATCTACTATTACATATTTTTAAGAATTCATACCACTGAATTTTGTGCACATATACATACAACGGTATATTTTTGTGAAGAAGCATAACACACCTGATCATTTGGATACACTTCTTTATTATCAGAGTTTGCAACACAAAAGTAGAGTTTAACACTACATGCGCTCATTGTTGACATAAAAAGTAAAATCAAAACGAGGCTTACCTTATTTAAATGTAATTCTATAAAACATTGTACACCAAAAATCTTAATATTCCTCCATGGCCGCTCAAGTCCCTACATATTCGTAAAAAAATTATGGTTTAGTGTTCTCAGACTCTTAGTTCATATAGGCTATTGTCGACTGCTGCGTTATCCCGAAACTTAAACTTCATGTACATAATTCATTCGTCAGCAGGATTTGTAAACTTATGTTTAAAAAAGCTCCACGGATTTCCCTTCGAGAAATACGCCATGTTCAATTTATATGAAAATGATAGTTTTGATTTGCGTAGTTCATGATGTAAGTCTGTCTCAGTCGAATCTACCCAACGAAGGTCTCGTGGATGTTTTTACCAAGTATAGAAACTTCACCATCTGCAACAATGGTCTTTTACGTAAAGAAAAGACACTTGTTTGTGAGCACTTCGGATATCCTACCGCAGCATCTTTGGAAGGCTCAAGGTCGTTATCGTCTTCTTTTATACCTGGAAATGTCAAATGTGATGCGCAAGTGTTCAATTTATCTCAATGTGCTATCACTCAAAATAATGATTGTTCTCAATACTCGTACGTAACATGTAAGCATACTCATTCATTCTTTTCAACATCTAGAGATATTTTAGGACATGTATGTATGATGTTAAAAAAAACTGTGGCGCTAAATAATTTTCAATAAAAACATGTTACCTTTATCTTTAAAAATAACTCATCTCCATCATCATGACTTGCTCTAATCACTGTCGGGTTACTAGTTACGAGGCGAGTAGGCTAAGACTAAGTCGTGAACCTTAAAGTCATATCTATTCCTCCCAATGAGTTCAGTTTTTCAATGATGCTCGCTTTCCTGACACTCCTTTGCTTTTGCATTTCCTGGCTTGTGTTTGTAACCCATTTTGTAAACAATGAGGAAAATGTTGAAGTGAAATTTAAAAAATTATCAACACTGTCTAGGTAATTGGGAAAACCCATTACTTCATGGACTCTTAGCATCGCGCATTTAAACAGTACGAACACCATTTTTCTCATTATCAAATTGCTCGTATGGTTTTCAATAGCTAAAATGGTCTAAATTAAGCACATTAATTAAGCTTTTCCGGAATAGCAAAATCTGTACACTAATTATGTCTTAGCCTTTTGAAAATCCAGGTCTATAGGTTTAGCTTACTTATCCAGCCGGGTAAACCACTGCTGCTTACCTCGATTATCATTATGCTATAATTGTGAGTGCTTTTCAGTACTGTGTGTTCATTTCTCTTTAGGTCATATTTGTGACAGGCCTTTATTAAATAACACGCATAGTTTTCCAGACTCCTCATTTACTGCCTCGGCTTTAACAGAAGGTCATAGTGCTGCTAATGCAAGAATATCAAGTGGCAGTTCTTGGTGTGCTCCTGCTGATGATGGCAATCATTATCTACAACTGAACTTTGAAAAACTTTATGCCATAAACACAATCGCGATCTTTGGAGACAATATAAGCCCAAGTTGGGTAGCTAGCTATTACGTGAACACTACATCTGATTTAAAAAATTGGAAATCAGTTTTTCGCACGAATTTACAGGTATTGTGTGTAAAACTGTCTTTGAAAAAGCAAAATTGTCACACGTTATGACCCAAATTTAAAATATCTTTGCGACCTGAATTTATTTGGTTTTTCTTAACGTAGCTTTTCGAAGGCAACAAAAACGCTTACAATGACGCTGCTATATCAAGCATCACAGGGGGTATTAGAACGAAAGCTTTACGGCTTATTCCGGTGAATTACCATGGTCGACCATGCTTACGAACAGAAGTTTGTGGTGGAGGTAAATATGAGTCTGGGAATTATGTTGTTTTTGTGAATCATTACGAAACAAATGAACACGAGTCACAAGTTTATTTTTTGCAGTATGACGAAACTTTAAGTTAATGTTTTTAAGCCTGTTTTCAGATCTAAAGTTTTGTTTCGTTTGTTATGTTTACGTTTTTGCAGCTTCCAAGATTATCTACATACTAGTTCGGTTACTGAACACATTTCAGTGACTAATCACTGAATCGCACAGTTTGCTACAGTAACTAAACACAATACAACTCGTTTACTGCTAAATGTTTTAAAACATTGATTTTTCGGATAAAACACAATTCAGTGATTTTCAATAAACTAATCATACCCAGACATTTTTAGTTGGCAGTTGGAATAAACGACAACCTTTCGTAATTTAATACAAACGTGTTTAACTACGTACAAGAGCCATCTTCAAATCAAATAAATATACAAATAAAATTTAAAGCGGGAAATGTACAACATAGAACTATGATACAAAAGACGTAAAACGCAATGACGAGATTTATGTTATGTAAGGTACAGATTTTTTATGAATTTTAAATTCTTTAATTAGGAGGTAGAGGGTAGATAGCATAAGTTTCGTCATGCTTTAATCGAACTTTTTCTTTCGACTATCGTCTTCGAAAGCTCTAATAGCTATTCATATTTTTTTGAAAGATTTTTTTCTGCATGTCGTATTTATCAAAAAAAATATGTTATTTAAGGACTCGGAGATCCGTACACAAATAATTTTTTTCATGAGGTATTTTTCACTTTTTTAACGAAGAAATTAGCGTTCTAAAATTGCCGATGCTTGATGTTGGTATTAAAATTGAATTCTTTCCTACAAATTTCACTTCGTCCGGATAGCAATCTTTGCTCTTGCTATGAAAACTACCTTCTGAATACATGCTTTCTTCTTGAAAAATTTACATGCTTTTAATACGATTTAAATGAACACGAGTCACAAGTTTATTTTTTGAAGTATGACGAAACTTTAAGTTAATGTTTTTAAGCCTGTTTTCAGATCTAAAGTTTTGTTTCGTTTGTTATGTTTACGTTTTTTCAGCTTCCATGATTATCTACTAGTTTGGTTAATGAACACATTTCAGTGACTAATCACTGAATCACACAATTGCTACCGTAACTAAACACAATACAACTCGTTTACTGCTAAATGTTCCAAAACATTGATTTTTCGGATAAAACACAATTCAATGATTTTCAATAAACTAATCATACCCAGACATTTTTAGTTGGCAGTTTGATTAATAAACTACTTTCTTTCATAATTTAATTCAAACGTGTTCTACTACGTACATAAGTCTTCTTCAAATCAAATAAATATACGAATAAAATGTGGAGCGGGAAATGTACAACATAGAAATATAATATAAAAGACGTAAAACGCAATGACGGGATTTATTATGTTAAGGCAGTGGCGTGCGGTCATGCAAGCGTAGGCAAGCGCCGCTTGCCTAAGCATTTTACCGAACAAAAATTTTTTGGATCAATCTCTGAGCAAAATCAGTTTAAATTTTTCTGTTCTAAACAATGTCAATGTAATCTTTTGTCTAAATTGTCTTTACAGTTGAAATGCTTGCTATTTATACGCGATTTACTGTCGTGGTTTTCGGTTTCACTTTGCTACACTTGTAAGATGAGTCAAGTGTATTAAATTAAGTGGATTAAATTAATTATTTATTAACCAAGGCAAGCGCGCTTGCCTTCGGAGCTCAATTTGAACATTTGCGCATGCGTTAGTCTAGATTTGGAGGCTTCTTATTCGAGGAATATCGAGAAAAGGCAAGCGGCGCTTCTAAGGGCGCCGCTTGATAGCAATTGGTCAACAGTCTTGTACGCTCGCAATTTTAAACATATATCAGCGCACGAATAATATTCCTATATTCAACACATTGGACATCCGAATTATTCACGCCGTTAATGTTATCGTTTATTAAAAGATCACTGAGAGCGAAAGGTAATGTTCTGATTTCTAATTTAAAGTAGTAGTAGATTTCTAATTTATGTATGTAGAAGATATTATCTGTAGCATGTTATACTTTAGCGTTATATAAGTCTTGCGTATGAGCTCTGAACGTGATTTCAATGTACTAGAACGCTATTAAATTTTGTGATTATTTTATTCAGTAGCATAGAAGTTATTTACAACAGTCGTGAGTATTCTATATGTTAGAATTTATTTACAGGCTTTTTATATATTTTGATAAACAAGGTGCAGTTATTACACAGCGGATAATGTACTTGAAATTTGAGTAGTTTTACGTAATTATAAAGTTAAGTGCGTAAGTTTAAGTAGCGCGTTTGAGTAAGTGTAGGATTGGCTATTTCCTCTATTGCTAATACATGAATCTAGATGAGTAATGTACGCACGTTATGTACGTCACTACAAGATATCATGTAACTGATGTAAGGTATAAATAAGATTGATGTTCCTATAAAATATATAGCATAGGAATTTTCATCCTTTATGTTCTACTTCTACAATTCGGTATTTTCACGACACCTGTACAACATGACTGAATGCATTGTGGAATCACTGTTATCCCGCTCATTTGGATTGAGACCTTTTTCCGAGAAACGAGAGATCGTCGAAGGTGGCCGTCCCACTCCTGAGTTGCAAGGACTACATACAACATCCAAGCGAAGTGGTAAAGTCTTTATTCGAAGTTTTCAGACGTCAAATTACGACAAGTACAAATGGCTGGCTGGCTCCTCAAAATTGAATAAGTTATTTTGCTGGCCGTGTCTTTTGTTCAACTCAACAGACAAGACAGTCTGGTGCAAGAAGGGATACGATGATTTGGCCAACCTGTGTAATGCCGTCAACAGACACGAGAAAACGAAGACAGACTTGTCCAGTTGCCTAATGAATGCCAGTTTTGGGGGTACACGCATCGACATGCAGCTAAACGAACAGGCCCGTCAACACATCTCAGCTCACAACTTGATGGTGCACAAGAATAGAGAAGTACTTCGCCGTTTCATTGATGTTGTTTGCTTTCTTGGCAAACAGGAGCTTTCTTTCAGAGGTCGGGTGGAGCTGGAAGAGTCTGCCAACAGGGGCAATTACGTCGAATTGATAAAACTGCTAAGTGCATATGACCCCACGCTTGAACAGCATCTTCATACAGCAACCGTGTTTTCTGGACTTTCTAATCGTATCCAGAACGATTTGATTGTTGCTGTCAAGGACGTTATGTTGAAAGCAATAAAAGATGAAGTGATGAGGAGCCCATTTGTCGCTATTTCCCTGGATGAAACCTCCGACGTTAAGACCTTATCGCAGCTAACAACTATAGTTCGCTATGTCAACCCAGTGGTAAAGCTGTGGAGCGCTTTCTTGGATTTACCGATGTAAGTGAGGATAGAACTGCGGCTAGACTGAAACAAGAAGTCGTTAAAACCCTGAACGAGTACGGATGCGGCGAGAAACTGATTGCCCGAACGTATGACGGTGCGAGTGTGATGTCAGGAGAAATGTCCGGTTTGCAAACACGAGTAAGAGAAGACTATCCACATGCTCTTTTTTATCCACTGTTGCGGACACGCATTAAATTTGGTCCTTGTTCAAGCTGTCTCGTCAACTAAAGAGTGTCGTATATTTTTTAAAACCGTCACTGGTCTTTCATCCTTTTTTCACGCCTCGTCCAAGAGAACATACCTGTTGGACACAGTTGTCGGCAGACGCATTCCCACTGGAACAGCTGTTCGATGGCACTATCAGAGCAGGTTAATCCATGCTGTACTGGAGACAAGAGCAAAGCTGCTCGAAGTTTTCGAATACATCATCGAAAATGATGACGAGTTTGACGGTACGACGTTAAACGAAGCGAGGGGCTACCGACAAGTTCTTGCAGATTTCCAGTTTGTGTTCTGCCTTAAAATATTTTCAGAAATATTTGGTCTTACGGATGTTTTGTATAATATCATTCAGAGTAAGCAGTTCGATATTGTCTTCTGTGTCACGAAAGTTCGCGAGACGAAAGATAAGATTCAAGAACAACGAACAAAATTCGTAGATTATTGGAATTTTACGTCAAGTATCGTCAAAGTAGCACTGAAACGCGGGCAAAGTGAAGAGGATGTAAAGGCGTCCTTCCGTCAAATGTTTTTCTGTGTAGTCGATACCATTGTCGTGCAGATTGACTCTAGATTCGAAAGTCTTAACAGCAGAGCATTCGTTTCTTTGTTGGATCATTCAAAGCACGAATTGTACAGCCGGAATTTTCCCGAACGAGAGCTGCAATCGTTGCAAGATTCATATGGAACATTCTTAAATCTTCAAGCACTAAAAGTGAACTAATCGTTGTATACGCATCTGCCGAGCTCAAATCGAAACCTGTTTTTGATATGATATCAAAAATAATCGAACTTGACTTGAAAGCCTGTTTTCCAGAGGTGTACCGATTGTGTCAGCTCATTCTTACTATGCCAAGTACGTCCTCCTCTGCAGAAAGATCATTTTCGGCTCTCAAGCGTATCAAAACGTATCTTCGCAGTACACAAGGGCAAGAGCGACTTTCTGCATTGGCTACAATTTCAATCGAGAAGGAGATGTTGGTAAGTTTGCAGGGAAGCCACGATTCTATGAGGACGTTATAAAGGAGTTTTGCGCAAAGGAAAGACGGATGGAATTTACATTTAAGTAAATCTGTTGTAGGATTTTGGACTATTTCGTTCTGTTACTTCTTCACTACAATAGAAATGCACGCGTAGCCATTTACTTAAAACGACTTTATATCACAATACCACATGTAATACTTTTAAACCGTAATTGTGATATATACTCTATAAAAGTTTTTGAATTTTTTAGATTTTTTCAATACTGTTTCAGTCATGACAGATACATTTTTTCGACAAAGTACTCCCAGAAATCGCGGGAAATGCGCTCCAGTAGCCTTCAAAATCCAAAAATTTTCTGGGGGAGCATGCCCCCAGAACCCCTAGATAGCTTCGCGGCATGCCGCGAACCTCACCCCCAGCGCTTGCCTATTAAATTCGGTCACCGCACGCCACTGTGTTAAGGTACAGATTTTTTATGAATTTAAATTTGTTAATGAGGGGGTGGAAATGGATGACATAAGTTTCGTCATGCTTTAATCGAACATTTTTTACGACTATCGTCTTCGAAAGCTCTAATAACCTTTCGTATTTTTTTGACAGTTTTGTTTTTGTATGTCGTATTTATGAAAAAATGTTATTTAAGAACTCAGAGATCCGTACATAAATAAATTTTTTCACGAGGTATTTTTCACTTTTGTAATGAAGAGTTCTAAAATGGCCGATGTGGCTTGATGTTTGTACTAAAATTGAATTCTTTCCTACAAATTTCACTTCGTACGGATAGCAATCTTTGCTCTGGCTATGAAAAATACTTTCTGAAGACATTTTGCTTTCCTCTTGAGCAATTAGCACGGCTTTTAATCGATTTATATTGCACTTTGAGAAAAAATAAATTGAAAAAACCATCACATTCAGACCACGCTTAAGATGTCATAGAAAGCTAACCGCTGTTGCAGTTAATCATATTGCAGAAAATCAAAAAATATCTCTTCGGATGTATAAATAAAAAAGTAAATGGTTTATTTTACATTTGTTCACTTATGAAAACCCCACTGTATTTGATTGCTATGGGGCTGAATTATGTAATTGTTTAAGAATACAGTAACATGTATTAATGCCTTGGAGTGCATTTTGATCATTGTCTTTTTCATTTATTTTAGAGATTTGCTATGATAAACAGTTACAATAACTAATCGTGTATATATGTATGATGGCTGGAATAACTTCACAGAAACAACTTCTGATAACGGTTGCCTTCCATAAACAAACAAAATTCGTTTATATTTATACCAAACTAACTAAATATGTAGTTCTCTTTCTTATGAATATTAAGCTATTGTTTGCTTTGAAGTAGAATAACCGTAGTGCTTAGCAAAAAAATCCAACAAAGGCTGTTTTCGGTGCAAACAAGAGGAAAAACATGTTTTTCAATGCATGACCGACTTATGTGCCTTTTCACACATTACTTATACTTGAACGTTCATTAAGTAGTCTGACTTGAGCATTTCTCTTTGTCGTAGAATTGCTTCCAGGCCAACCGACCCATCTCAGAGTCACTTCCACCACGTCAAGAAATGCTAAAGTATCCTGGATGGCACCCAAAAACGTTGCTGTGACACCTGGTACTGGTGTTAAAAATCCTCTGACAAACTTCAGGCTGGTTCTAAAGAAAAAAATGAAGGTCATTTCAAACAAAACTGAGCCATCTAACGTTGCTAAGCCTTACATGTTCCGCCATCTTATTCCTAACACAATTTACATGGTAGATGTAGCCGCTGGAAACTCTGAAGGCTTTGGAGAACCAGCAATTTTATCTTTCCAAACAAACGAGGATGGTAAGACCTTGCTTTCATAATGATGATTTTGTGTTGTATAATAAGGGTACACTTAACACAAGTGACAAGGGCATAGTGAATTTTTTGCAGCGTGTAACTGCTGTGTACTTTTATTTTAATAGTATAACATTTTTCTAGTTTTTAATATTTTTTTTCGTTGCCAAATAATTTGTCAAATCAGGATTAATGGATGTACCACATACCATGAGTTACAGCAAAGCAATGAGATCGCCTCGTTTTCTTACTCATACCCTCAAAATAGGATCTATAGCCGAAGCAAACGAACACAAGCACATGTGATTATATACTCCATATTCTTCTCCACTTAGACAGCAAAATGTCGAAAACATCATATTCTTCCATAATTCGTCTACATGATCAACTGTGAAACTTGGTGCTATATATATTTTTCTAGTACCTGATGGTCCTCCTTTGAACGTCACAATCTACGTCATAGGCGATACATCGTTGTTAATCACGTGAATCACCAGCTGAAAACAAAAGAAACGGGAAGATTGTCAATTACACCATTTGTATAAAACAAAGTGGGGATTTCCATGTTCTGGAAACTTTTCTACTGAAGACCAAAGTTTCAGGATAAATGACTTGAAAGCAGCGACAATGTACGATATCCGCGTTTTGGCCAGTACTAGAGTTGGTCGTGGAAGCTACAGTGAAAAACAAATGGCGAAAACAAATACATGTACGTAAGTTAGTTGTTTTGATAAAATTCTTTCGCTTTGTTCATTTACAATTAGTCGTATTCAAAGACATATCAAATAATATAAAAATTATAGTTTCAGGGCGTTCTAATGTGCCAATGAACTCGACAGGAAAAACATTGACGTTTTCTTTGAAGATTCCTTCAAGAAAATTTAAGTAAGTTGTTGTTTGTAAGGTTTTCGTTGTACGTTTTGCTACAGATAACATAAATAAGAAGTATTTTATCGATATGCAAGTGCATGTTAGCTACATCTACAACGTTTTGAACAGATCTTGCCTTGTCTACAATATTTTTTAAATGATCTCGTAAGTCCCAAAAACTGAAGAACTTCATCATAAATAAGTTCTTTATCAATTATAAAATCTGGAGATCGAAGTGTTTAGATCATATAAATTGTGAAAATTGAAGAGTTTATTATCACAACTTAGTTATGGGAATTTTAAGGGTTCTTTTTCACGTAGAAGTTGTCGAAAGTTGAAGAGGTCTTTGTCACGTATGGTTTGTAGATGGTGAAACGTTTTTATCACATACGGGAGAATTTAAAGACAATTTCCGTCAATGGACGAATATATAAAACTGATTAGGCATTTCGTTCATCGAGACCATGTTTATGGTTTTTAGTTATTCTTATATAAACCATACAGTTTTTTTTAGTATGTATTAATATATTTTTTGAAAACAATGTTATTGTTTGTCTCTTCAGGTATTTCTTTGTCGTTGCTATGGAAGATGACGGACAACGTCTCCCATCGACTTCTGAATTGAAAATGGAAAACTTTGTAAGGTATTCGGCAACACTCTTTTAAACCTTATATCGCTGCAGTACTGAAACCCAGAGATGATGGTTTATTTGTAATGGCTCAAATACAAGTGTTTCCACGAAAACGACGCTTAAACGCTAATTTCTAGTTATCGAATTTTCCAACATGTTGTGATTAATGATAAGGTAATTACTGAAATTCATCACGTTCTTATTGATTGTATTGGTGTATTGATTATTTACATAATTATATAAATATTCATGACGAGTATTATGTTTATTTTTTCTTCAAGTTTTATGTAACTTGTTTTAGGGTGCTTCCTATTCAACTGATTGGAGTGCTGTGGGAAGAACAACTTCAGAACAAATCTCAAATCCATCTCCAACCATAGGTAGGTTGCTTCACAGTAAATTCCAGGTCAATCTCCAAACGAAAGCAGGTTGCTTTAGAGCAATTCCCAAGTCTATCATGAACTGCAAGTAGGTCGAGGCTTGTTTTATCGTTTGGTTGGTGTTGTAATTTAGACTGAAGAAAATACTATACTTTAACCATACGACGTTTGCGTTTCTTGTTGTATAACGTGTGCCATCTTAAAGTTATATTTCACATATTATTTCGAGTCTCGATCTAATAAGCAAGAATCGTTTTAAGTTTAGTTTCATTCAAGGAAATGAAATCATTTGACCCTGGCTTTTGATGACAATGCTATCATTTATGTGCTGCTTTATCCAAGTAAAGATTTGTCAATTTGAAATTAATGCAAAAAGGAAATTGCTGTTTATGAAAGGCAGCAATACACAAGTCAAGCTCTATATCATGAAATTGCATGTTTAAAGGACATGGGGTCTTAGCTAAATAGGTTGACTTTAGCTACTAGCCCTGTGATGTATAAGCACTGGATTATTATTCGAAAAAGAAAATTAGCTAGAAATTTTCGCGTGGCAGTCTACACTCTTTTGAGTGCAAAGATCAATTCCTTATGTTATAGACGTTAGAAAAGATGACAAGAACAATTCTTCAGTTATTATTGGTGCAGCTGTTGCCGTCGCTTTTGTTTTGATAATAATTTTTGTGATCGTGATGGTTCTTTTAAGAAGGTAGAAATGGTTTAAATTATACTACGTCTTTATGTTACACATTATTTTGAGATATCATTTACGCAATTGCAATTTGTTATTCTAACGTTTCGTTCTGCTACTAGAATTGAATTAAACGCCTTTTTAACATCGAATAAAATGACATAAAACTCTTTTCTTGTGGGGTGGTGAATGGTGGCTCCGTCATTGTAGGGGTTTTAATCAAAAATGGCTATATATTTATTTGAATAATTTAATCGATACTATAGTAATCATCCCCCGTGTTGTCCTTCTGTTACATTAACTTATTTGTTTTTTTTTTATCTTGTCTTGTTCAATCAAACCAATAAACATGAAGAACACCTCGAGGAAAACTCCACCGCTATAAAATTGAAGCCTTCCATATTCAAAAAGCTGATCTGAGTCAAAAGTCAAAACACACATAACTATATTTATTTCAATCACTTACAAATCTAGGGAATGTTGTAAAAACATGGACGGCTTTTGAATTGAAGTGTTTCATTAAAACGATCTTTAAGACCTAAAACTTTAAAAACGAAAATTTTTTTAATAGGTGTAAAACTGTTGTTACATGCTCTTCAGTAAGGTTCTGCGCACGGAAAATAGTAATTAGAAAAACATTTCAAATAAGATGAGTCAAATTATGCATTGTGTTGCTTGCACAAGCTTTCAAAATTTCAACTGCACGTGCAAGTTAATGTGTGAGAGTTTTGAAAATTGGATTTTTTTGTGCTTTCCTTTTTCAAACCAGGTTTTATTACATCATTTAAATTAACTTTGTGCACTTTCTAATAGCCAATATGAAATTCACAAGCAAATCTAGCTTCACTGTGCTCTTTATATGCTAGCTTTTTGCGCTGTTGTGTAACACACATTTTTTGTAGAAAACGTGATGGTAAAAAGGAATCTAACAAATTTCTGTCGTCAGAAGATAAAAGAGATAACGTGCAGGAAATGTCCGTTAGAAATGAAATGCTTGATGATGACGTTGTGAATAATGTTGAACCACCGGTGAATAACAACAAGGATCTTAGCAACCTAATTACTGACGACGAAGAACCATACGCAAACAATGAATGTAAGTGGTTTGCAACATCTTGATGTTTCACAAATTTGCTCTTGTTTCTTAGATTGTCAAGGACGATCAGTCTTACTTTTCAATAGCTAATAATTGCACTTTATGTAACGGGCCACATTCCGAATAGTTTAGAAATTGGAGTTGAATTGGGTTTCAAATTATTTTATTTATGATATCAAATTAAGATTACTATTGGGCATACTACTAAAGCATTTGATACATTTACTTATTTAGACTTGTAAGTTCAATATATTTCTAAATTGTTCTTGTAAAAGAGAACGGTCTCATTCCTATGCACAAAAAACGAGTGATAATATTTGTTGCTTATTTCTATTGTGAGAAGCTAAAATTTGCTAAGTTATCTTCATAATTACCTTTGAGCTTCATATTATTTTATTGTGAAGCAATCCCAATCTTTTAGCTATTATCTTACTAAGGATATAAATATCCACAAAACAATTGGTTTTTTAAAACAATGTTTCAAGTGTACAATTAAACGTTTTAGTGAACACTCGCAGATAGATTTGTTAGCTGTTCTTCAAATATGTATAAAATTACTTGAAGTTATGAGTTATTGTTATTCTGCTAGTAGAAAACATCTGTCTTTATATTGGTATCTGTTACTTATGAACATTTGTCAAAGGCCTTCTTGTTTTCCTTTATCTTTTAGTCTGTTACTTATAACTATCACTGTGTTCATTTAACAAGAAAGAAGTTGCAGAAAATAACTTTCTTAAGAAATGAATCCTAAATTATTCCTTAAAAAAGTCTAATTTTACACAAATGTTCTGTTTCTTACAGACTTAACTGTGTTTCTCTTTTTTTAGCCATTGCGATTCGCAAACATTTTCCAATTCCTATTGCAAATTTTACTGCACACGTAAAGAAGCTGAGACGAAAAAACATGCATGAATTAAAGCTGGAATTCGAGGTATTGTGTTTTACGAGTCACCTTCTATTGACAACCAAAAAATAATTTTTAACATAAGCCAGATTAGAGTGTGTCTTTATCTTTAAACAATCATGAGAATACTTCAGGTAAATCTAAGAGACTCAACTAGAGTGTATAGAGGACTCGCGTTTCAATCAAATTAAGTAATGAGTTGACCACAATTACTCAATTTAACCCAGGATTTACCGAATGGTCAGAAGAGCAACTGGGATATTGCCAAAAGTCCTATGAATTCTTCCAAAAATCGATATGGAAACGCAATCACATGTAAATATTTTCCCCCTTGATACGTAGTAATGACAAAAACATTGACAAATTACAAATTCATTCAGCACTAAACATCATAATGTTTACAAACCTAGCTTGAAATGTCTTCGTACGTAATGAAGAATGGCTGTCTTGTGGACGCAAAAAACGTGAAATGTCTGGTTAAAAACGTGATTTTGTTTTTTAAAGATAACCATTCTCGCGTGATACTCTCTGGTGACGAAAAAACGGATTATATCAATGCTTCATTCATTGACGTAAGTGCCTTTGAAGACAGTTATTTGCTTTCAATTCAATCGTTAATAATGAAGATTTGCTCTTTTTTTAACTTACATCTTTCTTTAATTTTGCAGGGAAAACGTGCGAATTACTACATTGCGACGCAAGGTATCTGGATTGTTGCAAATCCCAACAGCCTGTTGCTAGCGAACACTTCACGTGTCCTTAAGTGTACTTGTTTGTGGCTCACCTGCGATATTTCACTTGTAGTCAACAGTTATATTGCTTACTTATTTTTTGTTTATTGTAGCCTGCAAAAAACAATTTTCCTTCTTCATCTTGCAGGACCCAAACCCAAAACAGTCAACGATTTCTGGAGGATGATTTTCGAGCAAAAGTGTCCAACTATTGTTATGTTGACAACCTTAAAAGAAATGGGAAAGGTGGGAAAGTGGTTGTTGATCATTTTACGGAGGATTTCGATCTATTTTTATTTCTTCCGACAGGTGAAATGTGAAAAATATTGGCCAGATGAATCTAATGTATATGGTGAAATTCAAGTGACCGTCACTGAGACAAAACTTTGCTGACTACGTCACGCGCATGATGGTTGTTGAAAAGGTAATTTTGTCATTTCCAGTCTCTATTTCTGTTGATGCCCGTATATTTATGTTTCTTTGACGAAGATGTAATGCAGAACAGATTCGATCAGTTTCGTCAGAAGAATGTTGTTATGACCAGATGAGTATCATATAGTTATGAACAGACCTAGTCATGTAATCATTTTTCTGGTCATTAATGACTGCGTTTAATTAACGAACGAAAAAAAGTGCACCGATTAAAGTTTCGTGTCTGTAGATGTTGATCGTTCAGGTTAGGGCAGTTCTTGAAAGAATTGTTGTTGTTAGTGTTGCCTCAAATTTCGGACATGCTTAGCAGTTGTCGTTTTTACTAACGCCATCAGTCGTTGCAACTGCACCTGACTTTGTCTCCTCATTTGACACTGAAGATGAATACTGCTAAGAAAACGATGTTGCAACGTCCATCATCACCAGTAGTAACATCAACATAAACAGTCTGTCTCAGGACTGCACTGAAGAGATCGGAGGATGCAGGGGCATATATCATTATAGGTATTCTAAAAAGCTTATTGGAACTCAGTGAAAGATTAAAGATTTTAATAAAGAAATTCAACGGCGTTTTGAAGACGTCAGTGAAGAATCAAGGTCTTCGAAAATAGATTTTTCATCAAACGTTTACCTTAACCTTAATCCTCAAGAGGCCGTTGTTGACCCACGGCAACAATCAACAAACGAGATATGCACAAACTTTTCATGAGGTCCGGCTCCTGGAGTGTTAAAATGCATTCACATTTTTTGTAGTGCAAAACATTTTTAGTTTGAGCATACATTGTCTTCATGCTTTTTTGTTTTCAAAGTTACTTCATCAATCCAAACTTGACAACCTAAAGTTAATCTCAACAGAAAAGGATGAGCAGTATCATTTACTTTTATAGAACGGCGAACATCACGAAGTCGAGCAGTTTCACTACAAATCATGGCCAGACTATGGAGTACCTCGTTATCCAACACAACTCTTGACATTCAGGAACCATTTTAAGCTATCGCACAAAACAAGATCCAGTCCAGTCGTCGTTCATTGTAGGTTAGTTGGTCTATCATAATAGGGTGAATCCAACTGTTACATATTGTATAAAAATTTTCATAAAATATTGATCAATGTTGTAGAGATTGATTTGTTAGGAACAGTTTGTCATTCTTAATTTTCTTCCTTCTTGATGGTGGCAGAGACCTACTCACTTTCCAAATTTCATAAAGATTTTAGTCATGATCGTCATTGACGAACGAGTAAATTCTTAAACAAAATCATTTGCTTCCAATTTGAGCATTTTCCAACAAAATGTTTTGCAATAACGCCTTAAATGTATGAGTGAAAACAGAATTGTGTGTTTACTCATCCTGATTTTGCTTTCTTGTTCAGTGCTGGTGTTGGTCGTACTGGAGTATTTATTGCCATAGATAAAATCCTCGATGATCTTGATGATGAATATGAAACAAACATTGACGTATTTGGCTTTGTGGAAGAGATGAGATCGCGCCGCATAAACATGGTGCAGACAGCGGTAGGTCTTTATGGAAAATCAGGACAAACAGCATTGATCGAGTATATTTAGTTTAATTGTTTTGTGGGTAAACTGACTCAAACCTTTAAAGCAATTTTGAAAGCACATCAGATCAATTTTTTTCCAAAACGATGATTCCAGGATTGCGACAAATCTTATACATTTATTATTTGCTTGACAATCAAGGATCAATACATGTTCATTCATGACACCATTATCGATCACATCCAATGTGGAGCGAATGAAATTGATGCTGTTCAAATCAAGGTCGAGATTGCGCAGCTCTCTCAGAAGAATAGGGGAGGGAAAACTGGATTTGAAGAAAAATTTGAGGTTTGTTCTATTTTTTTACTTATCATTTTTTATGCTAATGCTTTTCTTATGTATTTAAAGACTCCAGTTTTAATACCAAATCTTTTCTCGTAAAGACAGACGTGTGGTATCTAAGGACTATAGTTTCAACTTTAAACCATTTGTACGAGCTCAAGGAATTTTTTTTCACGTCAAATCATAATGAAGCCAATTTATTGCTGTATACATGAGTGCTCAAGATTCGACACCACATCATTCGTGGTGAAGACCTTACACCAAACTATACATAGGCTCAACATTTAACATCATATTACTCTTGATGACAAAATAATCCAATGTTTCATTTCCAGCGTCTACAATCAGTTACACATGGACTTCCTGAAGAGCTTTGTGAAGCAGCACTTTCGGAAGAGAATAGCAAGAAAAATCGTTATCCTGCAATCTATCCAAGTATGTTACGCATATGCAAAAATATATCGGGCTATTTATTGACATTTAGACAAAGTAAAATACGCGCGCCTGTTTAATGTAGTTAATATTAAGAGCAGTGTTTTTTTTAAACTTTGTTTCTTTTTTAGCTGAAACTAATCGTCCTACTCTTCGGCGTGTTGAACACTTAGAAACTTCTGATTACATAAACGCATGTTTTGTTGATGTAAGTAGCTGTTCAAACATTTTTAAAAGTAATTGTTTTCATTAGCAACGAAAGTATTATGGCCTTTAAAACACGATAACAGTTGCCATTATACAAAACCCCAATTTTGTTCCCTAATTTGTGAAAATGAACATAAAATATGGCTTAAAAACTTTGTCGATGACTTTTTTAGGGCTATCTTGGCAAGAATTACTTCATTGCAACACATATGCCTTTGAAGGCAACAATCAACGACTTTTGGAGAATGGTCACTCAATATAAATGTACGACCATCGTTTTGCTGAATCAGCTAACTGAAGATAACAAGGTGTGTGTGACGTTTTCATGAATAAAGGAACAATTCCCTGACCCTCGGATAAGCAGGATTGATCAGTGGGGAAGTCACGCTTACTAAGTCTGTTTAACTTGTGGGAGAGGGATCAAGTATAGCAACCTGTACTCATTCTTCATTGTCTTGCATTTAACGCTTCACTTGTATGAATACAATGTTTACTGTTTTTTGTTTCATTTAAACACATTCTATGAAAACGCATCGATAAAATTGAAATTTTAGATGAAACATACATGTAAACTCGAGACGTGACCTTTTTAGAACAAAACAAAACAACAATTTGCTTTGATATTTTGACTTCATTTTAAAGTCGCAATGAAAAAATTTTATCCTAAAAATTTTCACTCGGAATGAAAAATTTACTTAATCACGCTATAGAAGGAGGGGCATAGTATAAGAGATCACGTAGTAAAATGTTGCATCTTACTATTTACAGAAATTGCTATAGACATCATGAGAAGAACTCGAGTTATTTAGACTCCCCTTGTCCAATATTTAGCGGAGGTTATCTGTACTTTGTGGATAATGCTTCAAGGAAAAGAAGATATTGAAATTCGTGTGTTTTTTAAAAGGGAATAATTCGAGTGTTAGCGTTAATGAGATGAGGGAAGGAAAGTGATGTGTCAAATAGTATATTTATTTCTGTCATTGAGGTTGTCAAAAAGATAGTTTATATATTCAAATTAATGTTTGGTGGACGCTGATTTGGAATTCTTAATTCTCTATTAAACCCGAGGAAGCAATAAAAAATATATCAAAATTGACACATGACCTTATGGCTTTCGGAGCATGTTGTTATTTCAGTACTTTTTATATCATACCCTATTCCTATCTATCATTCTTTCAACGTATTGTACTCTAATGTACATTTGTGTTCAACTATTTGTACACCAATGAAAGGCTTTATAGTTATCCACCTTTGAACTTATTAGGAATATCCAATGTTTTGGCCCACGAAGAGAGCAACAAGTCGACCTTATGGAACATGTTCTGTTCTGTTCGATTCAGTCGTAAAGAAAGAAGACATTGTTGTGAGAAAGCTTATAGCCTCACCATCGATGGTTAGTATATTAATGATTGTGAAGGACACTTGTTCTTTATCATAACTATGAAATAAGCTATTTTGATGATTTTATTGTATCATACGATGAGAATCTACAATGAAAATATTTTGTAGTTGTCTTTTGTCGCTCGTACTAAAAACTAAGATCAGTTGCGACTAATGCTATATGAACAATAAGGAATGCATTCACGAAGTTCTGTCCTTTAACACAAAACTTTAAATTTGTATTATCACCATGGCACCAAACCAAAATAAGCGTTGCAAACTTTAGTAAGCTTAATTTATTTTGCAACTGGGCTTGGTAAAAAGAAGTATAATAAATACAATAAATTTTAATAGTTGGAATAAATTTTACTATCAACGTCTTTGGCGACTTGGTGTCAAGTGAACGATTTCATTTGTTGCAGTAAAAAATTTTGTCAAAACTTAAATAAAACTTAAAGCGATTTGTTTTTTTTGCATAGTTATATTTTTCAAGTTTTTGGTCGTACCATTGTATTGTATTTGCTCCGAGTGGTTTTGAACGCATGAAATGCGACCTTGGGTTTTTTGATCATCGTGTAACCGTTTACAAACTACAAAAGTCCTCTTACACAAAGCTTTTGGCTATAGTTTAAAATGTGATGAAGAGAGCTTTTTAAATGTTGTGTGTTTTTAATAATTAATTTTGTATACGACTGAAGGTGTTTCTTTTCCCTGCTATAATGGATTTGTAGACTTCACACACGTCCTGTCGAGCAACAATGAAATAGGTTTACAACTAAGCGCAAAAACTTATTCTGTAGGACATCAAAGAAGGTCATATGGTTCATGTAATTCAGTATTTGTCGTGGCCAAATCATGGCGTACCTAAAGATGTTCGCAGTTTGTTGAATGTCCTTTCAGAAGTGGAAGAAGCCCAAAGAGCCGTGGAGGTTAAAGGACCTGTTGTCGTTGTCTGCAGGTATTGCACCAGATATTTTTTATTCAAAGACTCTCTCTAATGAAATTCGTGAACTATGCTCACAATGCGTGTTTTACAACAGACCAAGTGATTTAATTAAATGGTTAAAAGTAAAGTGGAAGTCTAACTGATTTTAATGGTTATTTCACCTCACATGCTAAATTTTGTGCGAAAAATTCTGTTTGTTCTCGTTGTTTGTCCCTAGCGCTGCAGCTCATTTAAAACTTTAAATGATTTCTAAAGACTGTTAAACGACCAATGTCAGAAAAGTAAATTTTGAAGTGCCAGATCCATACCAGAGTTTTATACCACATAATGCTATGCTATGTATTTCTTGAAATGTTTTTGAGCACTTTGAGTGTGATTAATTTGTCAGCGATTTTTTAGCTACAAGCAGACCTTCAGTAGAACATTCCTTCATTTTAGAAAAATTAATTTCTTTTCAATTAGTGATGGAGCAGGTAGATCAGGCACTTATATCACCATCTCTAACCTTGTGGATCGAGTTAAAATCGTCCAAGTCGTCGATGTGTTTCAGTGCATAAAATTGATCCGAAGTAGACGCCCACAGTTTGTTGAGACAGCGGTACGTATGTGGACCTTCTTTACAATAGTACACGTAAATTTCAATAGAGTGTTTGCATGTGACGTCAATGCAGTCATTTTGGGGGAGTGCATCAAAGTGCCAATGCTCAGAGAGCATGAAATTTGCATAATTTCTTTTCACTATGTGCGATTTTCCCCAACATGGTGATTGATGAAAACACTCTATTAAGACAGTCTGTTCATGTAATGATCGTTTTTATTCATCAAATGAAATATTTCATTTGTGAAATGTGACTTCCACAAGTGAAAGTGAATTTCATATACAAAGTTTTGGTTTGTTTTGATTTTACATTATTTCATTGGACCTCTTTGCCATTAATTATATTTGGGTTATATATATTATATTTTATATTAGATTTGATTATGTTTACGTAATTTATATGTCATTTTTTGTCTGTGTTTGGATATTTCTAATGATTTCTACTTGATGTTTATGTAGGAGCAATTCAAATTTTGTTACAGTGCAGTGTCATGCGTGTTGGAGTCCTTTGACGAGTATTCAAATTTCACAGAATTAGCAACGATTTGAGAACGTTAAACTTTATTTTACACTCGTAGTTAAATGTCGGTATGTAAATCTATAGTGTTTACTATCGGATAAATTTAAAATACGCTTTAGGAATTATAAATAGAGGAATAAATTAGATTTCCTCAATATTGCTTTGTTGACCTAGAGCGAAAACCATTCGTACAAATATGTATTAACTAGTGATTGTAGCCTATTTAATTTTAAGTATTTTTTAAGTTTTTAACTACAACGTATACGACGAGGCTTTATTGTATGCGGTGGAAGATCCACGAAAAGGAAATAATTGTATGTATTTTAAAAACAGCGGTATGGTATCGTGTTAACGACAACGACTTCTTTACACTGAATTTATGTGATTATTTTGAACTTTTTTACGACCTACATGAATATTTTTATTTCAATATTTGCCGTCTCATCTCAATGAAATATTCTAACTATAGCCTTTAGAAAATAATCATTTGTTCCTATAATAATAATACGTAAAAGAAAGAGTACAAACTGGTTTGATTCCATTTGAATTTAATTCTAATCATAGATGAATTACATCATTGAATACTTTTCAGTTATCGTTATTTAAAACGCCAATCTTACCCTTTCTTCAACTTCAGTATATTGTTTATTTGTCACGTAAAATTAATATAGTACCTGCCTGTACCAGGTACTATATCTATCTCAGGACTATACCAACCTGGACGATCTACATTTACAAACATGTAACGATACTCCCGGGTTCAAACCATTTACTTTATAGTACCTGCCTCTTTGGTATGTTTAAGCATGTCACGATTAGAAACATATGTTATTAATGTTGAACTGTAATTTTCAAAACAAACTGAAATGACCATACTGCTTGTTTCAAGAAAAAGGTCATCTTCAAAATCATCCAGCATTAAGAATATGCATGATTAAACTGTAATTTTCCCAAGAAGGTGTTTTTTTGGCAGAGTTTCTTGTCAGGGATTTAAAATGTGCTGAAATATATACGTATGTATTAAGCCTGGTTCACACGAGTAAAATAAACATGAAGGTCGAGACTTTTTTCCTATTGCTCTAGAGGTGTATAAAGGCAAAGACTTTGGGATTTTCTTTAAAGCTTCTTTTTGTTCTTCTCTTAGCTTGAAATTTTTCCCTATGCTTGCGCTTATGTCGATTATGCCACATGCTTTGTTGATTATCTTTGTTTTATTTTTTGTCTACGCTTGTTCTTGTCCTTAATTCAATTGTTTGAACTAGGCTTTATTGTATTCTATAGTGTTTACGGCTCCTTGGCTCAATTAATCTGAATCATTCAAATTTTAGTGTCGGCTGATTGCAGGAGGAAAAATTCTTGATACACTTGAATTGAGCATCTTGTCAAATCATTCAAAAGTACGACGGCCAAACACTATTTGTTGCTGTCGTTTGTCAATAATTTGCTTGGAGCTACGCTTTTACTACGAGTCCTGAAGAATAGAACGAAATGTTGACGAAAGTAGACATTGACTGTCTAAACCATTGGTTACTTGTTTACGTTTTCGAATTCAGTAAAGTATTTTTCTTGCTTGCAACTCAAACTTTAAACAACATGGAAAAGATCGCTCTGTTTTTTGTCTCCCATCTTTTAACTCTTTGGGGAATGGTTGAAGGCAAACCATGCTTCGTCTTATATCCAAAATAATCAGCAATTTTCAAATTGCATTCGTTCATTGAGCAGATTTAAACACGAGGGATTTATTACAAACATTTTCTTTGTTTGAAAGCATTAAAGAGCTATTCATTGCTCCTTGAGAGATAAACTCCTTGTTATGGGCCAATCAGAATAGATTAGTCATGACGTCAAATGAAGAAATTTCAACGTATTTAAATTCTTGTATCGCTCGTTCCACGTTATTTTATCACTTGTAAGTGTTGTAGAATGCATTTCAGGTGAGAAATGTTACAAAAGTATTGAGTATGAAATGCGTCAAAAGTTCCAGTGTATTTGGTGATATGATAGCTTTGTGTTCAACATAAATCGTTTGTGAGTTGAGCAGTAGAGTTATTCTGTTAATCCTGTACAAATTCATGTTATCTCTTCGAGAAGTAAGTGATGAAAGCCATTCTTGTTGGATTATCTATTGCACCGAAGAGCCACCAAGAACGGACATTGAAAACCTTCTAAAGAAATTCTGACAAAAACCACAACCGATGACAACTTGATACAAAACTGGTTGGAAATGTGTCGGTTGTGACGTTCCACCTCGTACATTGTTGGAAATTACGCAGAAGGATTATGTGAATAGAATGTAGGCATTTAACTAGAATACATTGCATGCACTTTGAAATTTTACTTTGAGTAAAAGATAAGGTTATGCATAAAGCTTGTGAGACGATATATGTACGTTAACTGAATTCAAATTCGTCAAATTTGGTACACGTGCAGTGAACTTATTGTAATCATCAACTATTCCACTGCAATTTGTTTGATTCCCAAGCCATGACCAGTGAAGAAATTGCGCAATAAAAGTTGACAATTCACGCCAAAATGATTGTACATTTGAAACTGATTATCTGAATAAAGTGAATGGCTTGATCCCAGAACACAGGCGCATTTGCTTTCGATAACCTTGAATCTGGAGATAACTACCAATATGAAACAGTAGCGGATCCGGCGCTGATCAAAAAATTATAGGATTAGCTGTTCAATTTCAAATTAAAAAAGTGCTTTCAGAAAAACACTGTTAGTTTTGAATTTATAAAGAGGGTAATTTTACCATTGGACTTGTCTCTGAGGAGTTTAGAAATATAAATATATGCTAAAATGTGCTGCAGTAGTTTATTTCGACGTACTCTAGATTCCTCAATGCTAAGAAAGTGGAAAATTCAGTCTACGCCAACACCAAAGTCCTTCTCTGGACTGCACTAATCTGAACAATCTACTCATACCATCTTCTAATAGATCATCGTTTTACACAAGCAACATATTAAAATGTTTTCTCGTTTTTTTATAGATTGTATATTACTGATGAAAGTCCCTTGGTCTCCTGTGCTATACATCATTTCAATCACTCTCACTAGTTTCTTACCACTCCTGTGTCATGGTGATTCATGACCAAGAATGTTAATATGTAGTTTGGATTCGTCGTGGATGTTTGTGCATATAATGATGATGGGCCCCATTGTTATATGCGCCCACCTTTAGGTGGTCAGCAGACATTCATAGAAGATAAACTCCATACTAGACATTCGTTGAGTGATGATTTAACTGGGGTATTGAAGTGGTTCTCATTTCTACAAACAAGTAAACGGAAACTGCTGTCTCGTCATTAGAATCAAGCGCTACGAACAGATTTCTTGAGTGAGTTTCACCCGTTGGTTAAAATCGTGAAGATCGTTTTTGAGAATAAGCTTTGAACGTTGCTAATATTCTTTATCTACTCAGAGGTTAGTTCATTGTTCATTTTTGAGAATATCTGTTGAAGACCTGCTCTTTTTATTTCATAGAATAGTTATTTAGGCGTACGTACAGAGATTTGTTTTAGTTGTATTTTAAAAATATGAAAAAGGCAAACAGCTCATTTCAAAATTTCAACAATTTTCCCCTGCTTATTTTACAATCATGTTATTAATAATTTAGATCTTTTTTCATTACATTGATGCAACGAAATTATTTTTAAGTATAAATTTATATGCTTGAAAATACGAATGTACACTGTTAAATAGTTTTGCTCAGGATTAACATTGTGTCAAGTGATGACACAATGGAATATTTTCATCTAAAGCAAGAATTTTCTTTTGATTCCAGCTTGCATGAGAAACAAATGAAAAACACAACAAAATACTGTCGCATATGATTGTTTCACATGTTGCAGTGCTCTCAAACTACTATTTTGAATTCATAAACTACAATTGCTGTCCTCTTCGTCCAAAATTTTCTGTATGAGCAAAATAAGCATATGCTAACCAGTGAAGATTTCCTTCGTTATTATCTCTCCAGTTTGATATGAAATTTAATATGGCTTAACATGTCCATAGGCGATTGCTTACGTTAATGGTGATGCTATTGTGGTAACTTGATGTAGGCTTTGAGCAAAAACAACCTAGTCAAAAGATTTGTAAAGACGCAAGGTTTTGCAAAGGAATATTGGACTGTGAAAAGAAACGTTATCCTACTGACGACGAAGGAATGCAGGAATCAAAAGAACCAGGGTTTTTATGGTGCTTAAGTAAGTCTCGCGTTTTGAATGATCTTAAGGAAATACAGATCATATATGTGTGTAAGGTAGAGAAGATCCGGATGGTTGACAATTTACGCCTGAATTCTAAAAGCTCACACAAACTAACACAGACAGAGTGGAGCTTCTAAATGACATGATAACTCTAAAAAAGGTAATTTTTACTCCACCCATTGCTTGATTTGAAATACTTTAGCTAAAATTTTTCTATTGATGGGGAAATGAGTTTACCATTGACTAGTGAGATCAAGGTTTTCTTGTCACACTCAGTGAGGGTTAGTGAGAGTGAGCTTTTAGAAAAGTTCCTTTGACCTTAAGTGTAGGAAATAAGTGGCAATTTTGTTTTGTGAGGATTTTCTTTTGAATCCTGAAAAAGAAGGTCCCTTGCTTGCGAGTGAATAGCTGGCTTTCACTTATATCAGAAAATCTATTTATTGAAAAAATGTTTCGAACACTGCAATTTCAACAATTTTACGTTGCTACTCTTCCTCGAAAGAGCGCTATTTGCACAATAAACAAGCTAAAAACAGCTTTTTTCAAACAACAAAAAAGAGGCACGAAGTCACCCGAGTCTCCTAGGTGAGGAAAATCAGGTAATGCATTTCTAATTATTCGTTATTTTAAATGTATTGATTTTGTTGATCTTCGTTCAGTACGATGATATAATCACATTAATTTTTCATCAAATTTGACAGGGCAAAAACGGTATTCCAAGTTTCCTACTTGAAAGAAAACGAAAGAGAAGTTCAAACAAAAGCTTGGAGAGAAGAAAAGTTCATTGCTAAAAAAATGCACAACGCGAGATTTTTTGACTTATCATGTGGACTGTTCAAACTGCCACTTAAGAATCCATTCCATAAAAATTTCGGCAAGATCTGCTTTTCAGCAAAAAAAATCTTTGAAAACACTCATAAGTGAAAGGCAGCTATAATAAATGCTTCAATAAGGGAGGGTTTTGAAAAAAATCAAATTGATTGGGGTCGAACATATTTTCCATGATTTCTAATTTAAGGCATGATTATTCTTTTTGTGCATGCACATCTCTTACATGCATGTAATTTTGGTATTTGTTATATATGGGCTTCTGTTAGTTTTGTTTCTTTCATCCATGCATGCGTTCTGTGTAAAATTGCTTGCTTATTGTTGACGTTTTCTATCTAAATTTGCATGTTTTGTGCTGGTCCTGATTTTCAATTTTTTTGTTTTCTGAAAAAGGATTTTTACGACTCATGTAAAAACATTGATTTTCGTAAAGGGGGGGTCATTTCCTCTTGTCCCCAGGATTAATGCCTTTGATTCTG